ATGAATTTTACAACTGCACTTCTAAGGATTTTCCAGACTGTCTTGATTCCTTCTGATCTTCAGTTTTCAGACATGTGATAACCATTTTTTCCAGGTCAAAATAAAAGCTGGATCTAAAAATGCAAAGAGTATTCATTTCCAAAATTTTCTCTCTAGTATAGACTTACAAGATCTTTAACTATGGACAATAGCTCTTCACTCATTCTCATTGCATTGACATGGTAATCTACTGAGGGAATCCAGAGAAATCAGGAGCACAGCTCTCTTCAGAAACCTCCAAGTATAACTGCTAGAGATACAGCATACTCTTTGATAGGTCTGCATCACCAGTGACTTACAGGAATACAATATAAAAATAATAACAATCTAATATTTACAATAATTAGTATCAACAAGTACTAAGAGGAAAGGGCATATATATAGCTTCATCTAGTCATTAGTTTTTTAGAACTTGAAGTGGCCAAATTTGACACAGTGTAATAGCCATAAGAACTAATTTGTTTTAAATCAGTTGCAATAGCTTTAATTGTTCTGGTGCTGTCAGCGGTACACATCTCAGCTATGCTTCTTTAACTCTCAATTTTAGGGATTTAATTGACGATCATTTGATGAAAAGGTCTAGTTCTTGGGTTATGGCTTGGCCTCATCCTCCAAACTAAATACCTACTTTCCATGCTTATGTTGCAAAAATAGTCTGGAGAATATCATGATAATGCAATTATGATTTTCTTCTTTCTCTTCAAATTAACTTAGAGACTCTATTTTCTGACCTTATCTTTTAACTCTCTCTTTTAAATAGAGCTGCACCATCAAAGCAATCCGACGAAGGTAACCATAAACACCGCGTACCTTTTGACAGCTGCCAGTTATGAGGTCCTTCAGAAACACACTCTATAAATGTGTCATTACTGACTGAAATTAATGGAAAGAGGCATACAGTGATATCTTAGTATCTGCTAACTGAATTGATCTGTTTTTGTTAGGGATAAAATATTTTTTATAATTCTTGTGTGAATCCTAACTATCTGCAGTATCAATAAGCAAATCCTAGCTAGCTACTCTTTATTTGGCTTGTGTGATGTTCAACAATGCGAAGAAAAATGAGAAGAATGTGAGACTGTTCCCTATACAAATGGGCCACGTATGTTACATTTTAATTTGTTCCTTTCCTAGTTTCAGTCTTTGGGATATTCAGTTGCTGGAAAAGTAAAACCTTTCTCTTTAAAATAATTACGTGAAAAACTAAGTACTTCTAGATAAATGACTGAGAGCTCAGAGTACCTACTTTTCTTTGGAAAACCGTAAAACAGAGATGGGAAAAAACTGAGAAGACTTGCAGTTCACCTCATTTTGAACTCCAAGCGCAGTAATAGCACTCAGGCCACAGGGTTTGTGCTGAAATATGGGATGTTGCTCTTTCCTCTGTCCCACTTGCCCTTTGTTATCATGTGAAGGTTTAGTCAGGGCTTACCCTAGCTGGTGGCAGAGCAGTGCTGGCACCCTGGAGCATGAGATGCACATACCTCTCCCTTCCCCACCCCTTCTTTAGACCATTTCCCCAAGGTTTGTGAACTCACATTGTTATAAGCTTATATGTTGTTATATTGAGGACGCCTCTTAGTTAGTTAGCAGCTCCGAAATAACTTCTTTCTTGTCATGGTCAAAAAGGTTCCAGGTAACGCAAAGCCTGCTCCCCTGCCTGAGAAGGATGAACCTGCTCTCCTCAAGGACCCCTCCAAGGGGGCAGGGGAGTGAGGACAGCACCTGAGGGCCAGCTCCCTCCTCAGCCAAATACACAGCACCCTCAGGGCTTCCCCAGACGCTTAAAATTAAAATCAACCCAGCAGAGCTGTCCTCTGCTGCCTCACTGGTCTCCTCCATTAGGAGGTTTAGGGGAACTGGCCATCCCCATGAGCCTGCCTATTCAGGAAGGTGCACAGGTGGCCCTCTGCTCCCGAGCGTTTACATCCAGCCTCTGGGTATTTTGCATCTGTGCTATGCAAGGAAGCTGGGTTTCAATGCAGAGTCTGTGCTCTGCTTCATGAGTCAGAGACGATGAAGAGAAAATAGCATGAGTATGACTAGGGTGAAATTCTTGCCTTCAGTGTTTGTTTTACTAAGAAGAAACAAATAGGGAAAAGGCAGTGCCTCTGCCATGAAAGATTTTGCTCTGCTCTCTTTTGCAGTGCCGCCATTGATTTCAGTGGAGAATTAGTGAGATCATACGTTGGGATGATGTTTTTCTGTTTAACCTGAGAACAGTCAATAAGCTCACTAATCACAGTCCATATGTTAGCTGGGCATTGCAGCAATGTATGCACCATCATTTTGCAGAGCTTAAAAGTTGCGAAGTGCTTCTTTCTATCTCAAATTTATTTCACTGTTAATTGAGCAAGCAATTTCTACTGAAAAGACACCCAGACACCATTCAAACACTTAAAAATAAGTTTCTTAAACAGTGATAGTACACAAAAGTAGTTGTTGAAAGCAACTGAAATATTTGAGAAGTGGAATTCGTTTTTGCAATATGTTAATAATATGGTGGCATTCTGTCTTATAAATCAATAATAAAATCAAAATCAACTGCCTCATATACAGACGCAGTGATGGTGCAACTTAATAAGCAGTGCGTGTATGCACTATACATTATCTGATATGAAACTGAAAATTCTCATTTGCACCTTGTTATATTTCTGTAACAAATAGAGCCTGTGTTTTTGGTGGCCACAGAACGTGGCCATAAAACCTATGCCTTTGTGCACAATCAATGTATATTGAATATATAATTATCTTAAGGCAATTACTATAGGTAAATGGGAGAACTATGGTATTAATTTATGCTGAAAGAGATGGTTCCATCAGAATTCAGATGAGCCACTTTTGGGGGAGGACATGAAGAAATTTTCCTTAAAGGTTTTATTCTTCACACACTAATCTGTGGTCGAACAGAGCACGTGGCGCAAGCTGCCTGTAGTATTTTAAGCCATAGTTTAAACCACCGTCTACTAGCCTTCATTTGGGAAGGTGAGGTTTTGGAGCTCAGGCAGTGCACCTACCAGAGTGTCTACCCTGTTATGTGATCCCCAAAACACCAGACCTGATATGTAAGTTTTCTGTGATGTTCAATTGCAATTTATCGATTGAACAGAAATTCTCAATAACTTAAGAGGATGACCAGCACAGAAAGCTAGAGTCTGGCATTTTTCAGATGTGCTAAAATCAAATAAAAAACTGAGTAAAATTGTTAAAAGGAACTGATAGATAAGGTGCAAAAATTTTTGAGGAACTCTATATTTCTTCATTCAAAATCTTGGTATATTTTCTCAGAGATAGTACTGACAAGCACAGAAAATACAAGCTCATTAGAGTGGAAAAGGTGTATTTCATGAACAATTAACTCCATCAACACGATTTACCACAGTATCCTGCATTGATACATGTTTTAAGAATTCAGTGCAATACTGTGACGGGTTCGGTAAGTGGTAAGAGTGTCATTGTAGCTGTGATGATGGGCTAAGGCTGTGAGTCAGGAAAATGTGCAGGGAGTTGCACATGTATTATTAAAACTCTGGAGAAAAACAG